GATGAATCAACGGTAGGTAAGTGGAGGAAGCGCAGTTTTTGGCTTTCCCCATATTCCAAAAGTGTTTCGTCTCTTTGCTGTTACTGTCGCCAGGCATAATTTGCAGATGATGTTGTTTGCAGCTGTTGCAATGCTTTCGACCAAAACAGGCACAGCTTGTTGACACCATCAACATGCGCTATCGCGATAGAGCGGTATAGTCAAAATCTCTACCGTTGGCCAAATTTATATCGTTTCTACCGTATACCGTTTTTACCGCCCACCCCTATCTCTCAGTATTTTTGTATATAATTGGTCTTTCTTTTCCAGCAGATATGCAACATGGTGGTCGTCGTGGAGGTCATCTCCTTTTTGGAGAAATATCCTATCACCAAAGAGGCACTGGAGGTAAGTTACAACAGTGCCATCAGCAAATAAAGCAATCAAATGCAGCTTTTTAGCAGTCAAGTTTCATCTGCTGTTAAACAATCATCAATCTTATCTCCTCTTAAAGGAAACCCGCCTGGGCAAGCTCATCAACGACGTCCGGAAGAAAACCAAAAACGAGGACCTCGCAAAGAGAGCCAAGAAGCTTCTGCGGAACTGGCAGAAGCTAATCGAACCAGGGAAGGTTGAGGTGTTGTCAAAAGGCGGCACCGGCACGTCGTGGTCTTCCATTGGCGGTGCTCATCCTTGCATCTCTGCTCCAGCCGCCAACCCACCGTCAGGTAAAACGGGCCCAGAGTTGAAGAACAGAAATGATTTCAACAACTGCTCCCTGAGAGTGGAAAAACCGAGCAACAAAAAACGCAAGGGCGAGCAGAAGGAAGGACCGATTTTACCAGCAAAGATACCCAAAACAACTCTTAATGATAAAATCCAAAACTCAAAGCAGCTGCAAACCAATGGAATTGGTGCCGGCACAGAAATTTTTGCAGATATTCGTGCACATCAGTCTTTGGACAGGGACATTCCTGAGGCTTTGGACAACGACAAGCTGAATAAAATCCCTGTTCATGCTGTAAAACCTCACTCAAATTTCCCAGGATGCAGCAAGCCTCCTAGCACTTCCTCTTTGCTAAAAGCATCAGTTCTGCAGCAGCAAGCCAGACAGGAGCAAGCTGCCTCTGGGGGAAAGTGTCGACCCAGAAGCCCACGTTGTTCCTTGCACAGTCCTCAGACTCTAAAACAGGAAGCTGTTGTGAAACAAACTGCACCCCAAGCACAGAGTATTCCTACCCCCAGCGTGAGACCTGGGACTGTAGATAACTCTGGGCTCGGACTGCCTCCTCAGCCTTTCAGCGCATCTGTTCAGGGTTTTCACACCGACGGTTCAGGGTCTGCTGATTTGGACTCTCACCACCTGCCTCCTAGTATGTCTCTCCACGGCTCCACTGTCACCCCCTGCAGTGGCGTGGAGAGTCTGGAAGATGAGGGTCCTTCTTTTAATACAGGGAAAAGAAAAAGACAGAAATACAGACCTAAGGATTACTCTGTTAATTTAGAAGGGCTGACTGTAGAAGACAGAACAAAACCAGTGAGGTTAAAAGACAGGAGGCTGACGTTCGATCCTGTAACGGGGCAGATTAAAACCTCCTTCCAGAAGGATTCTTTCCCAGAGGGCGAGGACAGACCGAATCACAAACCTGAGAATAACTGGTCAGAACAGCCGAAGCAAAATGCACCAGTTCCTCCCAGTCCTTTCCAGCAGACGGACTGGAAAGAGCTGTCGAGGAGCGAAATCATCCAGTCGTACCTTAGCCAGCAAAGCAATGTGCTGACGTCGTCGGGCGCGCACACCCCCGGTGCACACTTTTTCATGTCAGAGTTCCTGAAGAAGGAGGAGCACCGGAGCAAAGATGCTAAGAAAACACACACGCTGGTTTCAGACTCGCCACCTGGAGAGATCCCTGGAGTCAGCAGAGAGGTGAATGGCAAAGACCTGAGCAGGTTACACACACAGCACTGGTCCGGGGTAAATGGTTGCTATGACACAATGGATAAATGGTATGACTGGACCGAGTGCATCTCCTTGGACCTGCACGGAGATGAGAGCAGGCTGAACATACTGCCCTACGTCTGCCTGGATTGAAACTGAAGTCAGGTCGGTAAATGAGACATCGATCCTTGCCTTCCCTGCGCGGCAGAGCGGGCCGGGATGATGCGTGAAGACTCTTCTTCACCATGTATGCTGCTGTTGGAGTAAATACGCTGCCTGCTCGAGTGTTTGTTGGAGCACAGGAGGTGTAATCAGTGTTTTATTTTGAAAAAGTCTAAACAAAACATGAGGACAGTGTGAAGGGGAAAGGCTATGCATCTTTGACTGTTTAGATGTCAATGTGTGTACAGAGTGAGTTTACAAAGCAGGGAGACAGGCGGCTCTGATACCCACGAGTTTCTATACTGGAGAGGAGATTAAATATACAGATGCATTTTATCCATCTTAAGTTATCTTATTCTATCCACATGCCTCACAGAATGTGACTTTATTGCATTTCATGCAGTCATTCATAGTTTTTTTTTAATTGTTATTATGTAATTTTTATGCATTAACCGACTAAATCAGGGTTGTTGCTTTTGTCAGCAGGCAGTAGCACGATACATAATTGGAACGTTTGTTCATGCTTTTTGAACAAAGCGTTTGAGCTCTTAAAATTAAAACTGCTGCTTCCCGCAGCCGCACGCCTGCCTCTCGTTGTAACTTTTAGCAGATTGAACCGACGGATCGGTTTTAAAACATTTGAATATTTTTCTTGTTTGCTCTTTAATGTGATGTGAAACTTCCAGATGTGACCACTGTTTGTGGTGAGAGGGGGAGAAGGCTTGCATACAAGCTGATAGAGAAATTTGGCTGTTATGTATATTTATTTACATATTGAGATTTGCATACATGTTTAAACTGTATTGAATCATCTTGTTAGTTTTTTATTTTATTTTAATTTTTTTTTTTTTTTTGTTGCAAGCAACAACAGTGAGGCTGCTACGGTGTTGTGTGATCTCGAAGACACCTACCGTCACAGGAACTAACACAAACGTGGCTTTGGCTGTTTTGGCGGTCGTTTATCAATCTGTAGGCAAATGCTGTCAAAGCGGCAACGTCACAGTAGTGCAAGATTTTACAGATGTGTAGCTGACATTAAAATGAGGGGCCAGATTTACTGATGGTTTGTGATTTGACAACACTTTGGCATCTCATCTGTTGCAGTGTCATAATAGGGTTAGGAATCAGTTCACTAAGTGACATTCCAGACTTTACCTACTGATCCATCAACATGCTGTACTTTACACACTCAAATAACACATCCTGATACTGTGTACTTTTATTTTTTTTGGGCTTGCCTTTTCCCTTTACTGTGTATTAAGGTTGTAAAATATGAATCAGCACGGCAGAGCAGATTGTGCTACCAGCTTGCATCCTTGTACTGTCAGGAAGAAGTGAGAAATAAATTGACATGCTGGATAATACTTAATAGCATTCCTTTAAATATTATTTGCCTTATGGAAACCCGTGTTTTCCCTAAAGACAGAGCCTTAGTGAATGTACAGGTATGATCCTTTTGTGTTCATTTGAATGCAAAAGACAATATATTTGCTACCTAGTCCTTTTCAATGGACATGTAATGTGTTAATAAAAAGAAAATGAAGGAATTGTTATTATGTCATCTCTTTAACCCCCCCC